ACAGCAAGCCAGCCTGGCTGAGCTGAGTCCAGCTTTGTCACCATGACTAGGGCTGCCAAGTGCTAGTCCAAGTTGGTCCTGGGGCCACCACATCTGCAAAGGAAGCCAACAAAGCCAGCAGCCTAGGACTGTATTCCCTGCTGCCCATTTATGTGACTTCAGGTCAGCCCTTAACCTTTCCAAAGTACTTTGCTCTCAGTCAGAGAACCCATGTGTTGAGGGTGGAATATGAGAAGGAAAAGGGGACAGTCTGGAGTGGCAGGAGGTAACCTGGTGCTCTTGCTCTCTCCCCAGTACGCCCAGCAGTGGAGCCAGTACTATCAGAACCAGAGCCCGTGGCCGCCGTACTACGGGAACTACGACTATGGGGGCTACTCGGGCAGCACACAGGGGGGCACAAGCACACAGTAGCCCGTGCTCGGGTGCTGCAGCCTCTGGAGGCCGTGCCAGCTGCCGCTGCTAGCGCTGCCGTGGCCCCTTGCAGCCCCTCTGCGTCCTGTGGTGCTGGGACAGAGTTATCCCAGGGCTGTCTCCTTCTAGCCCACTTCTTCCAGAGGGGCTTCTCCCTTCATACAGGCCAGGCATTTTTTTCCTCTGGATTCAAACAGGCGACCGTGACCCTTTATCTTTGTCCCTCCACTTTCTCCTCTCCCTGCCTTTTTGACTAATTAAGCTTTCTCTCCTTTGGTTACCTAATGAGCCCACAGTGACTGGGGAGGACCCCTGCCTGTCTGCCCCTCCCCACCCTGCTTTAGCCCCTTGGCTTCCCAGACTCATGCAGTTGGTTGTAAATTCTTCCAGGAGCTGTTTTACTGTCTACTTTTCAGGATTTAAAAAAAAAATTCAAAAACTTTAATAAAAAAAAAAGTTTAAGAAGCAAAATGCAGAGGGAGGAAGCAGTGACATATTTTTTGGTAATTATGCTTTTTTTAATTTTTAGAATTTGTTTTTACTGTGGGTCAGCCGTTGATACTTCATCAAATAACTTTCTTTGCTGAGTTCAGGTAACCGAGGAAGAGCCACACCCTCGAAACAAACAACAAAATCACCTTTAACCTAACTTTTTATATGATGTCTGAGTCCCCCATAACTTTGCACACAAGCGTCTGTGTTCTGTTGGATTGTAACTTTTTGTATTTGGAGAGAGTGTGACTATTGAACTTGAAACCTTTTACTCCAGGAGTCTTGGTAGTTTCTGGTGGGCTGAAGTGGGTGCGGGGGGAAGGGAAGGTGGGGGCGGGG